AATTATCTATATATCTATATAATACCTACATATAGATAATATCTATATATAGATATTGTAATATCTATATATAGAAATATATGATATAGATAATAGAGCTATCTCGATACTCCATTATATTATATATATAATCTACATATAATGAAATATTACTCAGCCATCAAAAAGAATGAAACATTGCCATTTGCAATGACATGAATGGAACTAGAGGGTATTATGCTGAATGAAATAAGTTAGATAGAGAAAGACAAATACCATATGATTTCAGTCATATGTATAATTTTTTTTAAAGATTTATTTACTTATTTGAGAGAGAGTGCAAGCAAGTGTGGAGAGGGGTGGAGGGAGATGGAAAGAGAAAGCTTCGTAGACTTCTTGATGAGCTCAGAGCCCCATGCAGGGCTCGATCTCACAACTCCGAGTTCACGACCCTGAGTTCACAACCTGAGTTGAAATCAAGAGTTAGTCACTTAACCGACTGCGCCACCCAGGGTCCCCTTACTCATGTGGAATTTAAGAAACAAAACAAATGAACATAGAGGAAGGGAAGGAAAAATAAGATAAAAACAGAGAAGGAGGCAAACCATAAGAGACTCTTAACTACAGGAAACAAACTGAGGGTTGTTGGAAGGGAGGTGGGTGGAGAGTAATGGAGTAACTGGGTGATGGGCATAAGAAGGTCACTTAATGTAATGAGCACTGGGTGTTAAATGCAACTGATTTATCATTAAATTCTACCCCTGAAACTAATAATACACTATGTATTAACTAAATTGAATTTAAAAACAAAAACAAAACAAGGCTGAAGATACAGAAGGAAATAAAGGAGATGTCATTAAAAGACCATAAATAGACAATGTGATTATATCTCAACTCCCCTCCATCCCCCACAAAAAAGGGCAAGAGCTGTAACAACTGCAGGAGGTCATTTAAAATATTTATCATATAGCATAACACTCATAAAAACTATTTTCAGAAAATAAAGTTTCTTATATTTAAAAACCTGGTCATTTCTAAAAAGATCTGGTTATCATTACAAAGAACTGATTCATATTCAGTGAGTCACCAGGGAATCCTTTAAATCTAAATTCAAATAATGTTTCTATAATAAAGATAAAGATATAACCTCGTAAGTTCAAAGGTTCTTTTTTTAAAAGATTTTATTTATTCATTTTAGAGAGATACAGAGACAGAGATGGAGAGAGAGAGCACAAGCAGGGGGAGAGGCAGAGGGAGAGGGAGAAGCAGACTCCCTAATGAGCTGGGAGCCTGACATGGGGCCCCATCCCAGGACCTGGAGATCATGACCTGAGCCAAAGACAGACACTTAACTATCTGAGCCACCCAGGCGCCCCAGTTCATAGGTTCTTAAAAGGGAAACTAATGTTTTAATAAAACAAAATAGTTAACTCTTCAAATGCAACAAAGTATAATATATATTACATTTCAAAGTACCTAGGAAGATTCATACTCTTATACCAAAAAAAGCATTCATCAGCACAATTTTTCTGTTTTAATGATAATAAACAATTTTAGAGACTGAGAATAAAGAATTTTTCACTTCCAAATAAGTAATATTAAATAAGAGATCTGCTCCCTTATCAAGTTCAGGATCATTTATCATTACAAAAATGTTAGTTAAGTCTTCAATGAACATGAAAGTGTTCAAATTCTTGCTGTGCAAACAGTTTAAAATTATAAAGTGAACGCACATGTTTGTAATGCCAGCAAGTAAGGGAGAACTAAGGGCTATATAAAAGCGGAATCTTTTGAATAAACTTGACACTTACCAATAATCCACAGTATAAGTAGATAGTCTATTCTTTCAAGGGCTGGCCCCATTGTGTTTTTCTTATCCTCATTGTAGACAAGAGAGTAGAGGTTTAGTAACAGCAGGAACGTGAAATATGATGCTCCATGAATAATAAATTTCATAAAAGGAGTGTGAATGATTCTGCCAAACTGAGATTTGGGAGCTATCAAATAACAAAGTGACAAAACTGGCCAAAAGATGCCAACTGTCAAAACTGTCATTATCTTCTTACAGGTGGGCTTACGTCGGTAACCTGACATCTGTCCAAACCAAACAGTGTTCAGGAACTGCTGGCAGTTAGACTGTGAGACAAACTAAAAAGAACACACACATATATACACAAAAATAAATAACTATTAATAACTATTCATTATATTAATAATTAACAATAAATTGGCTATAGATACAATTTGATAATACCATTATTTAACTGATATTCAAAGTATTAATAGTTTAAAATCAATTATATACAATTCACATAACTTTTTGTTTTTTGTTTTTATATGTAATAAAAGAGTGTAGAGGTTGAGAGCACAGACTCTGGAGCCAGATTACCTGGATTCAAATCCAGGCTCTGCCACTTAATAATTGACCTTGAGCAAGTCTTTAAACCTCTTTCAGCCTCAAATTTCCCATCTATAAAATGGGGATAATAACAGTCTCTACCCATAAACTTGTTACAAGGATTAAATATAAAGCTCTTAGAATAGTGCCTGATTCATAGTATGTAGTATTTAAATATTAATATTAATAGTCTACTTAGTCATTTTGCAAAATTTAATTTATAGAGACTCTCATAATGTTTGTGAAATTTCAAAGTTAACAACCACAAACCAAAGGAAAAAACTTCTTTCTAGAAGAACTACTGATTCCAGTTAGAAGAAACCAAGATAATAGCAAAGCAATCCAAGTCTAAACATCAGATACATTTATGATCCATGAAAACACTGAGAATTTCTTTAAATGTATTATACTCTCAATCTGCTTAAAACTGAAGTCTGTGTAAGAAAAAAAGAAAATATACTGCCAAATAAGAGGGAAATTCTAGTTCAAGTATAGGAATCAATTTACCAAAGTTTACAAAGCTTCTTAGTTTACTAATTTCAGAAGCAGTATTTTCCCAATACAATGCTCAAGTTGTGAAGTATAACTTAAGGATTCTGGTAACTGTGGGTACAATTATGTGATCAGGTTTGAAATGACCAAAGTGATCATAATGTCATTAACATATTAAAAACTAATTGGCCGATCTTCTGTTTTAAAATTATTTATCCTGGGTGCCCAGGTGGCTCAATCTGGTGAGCGTGTGACTATTGATTTTGGCGTAGGTCATGATCTTAAGGTTCTGAGATTGAGCCCCATGTCAGGCTCCCTGCTCAGCATGGAGTCTGCTTCCCTTCTCCCTTTCCCTCTGCCCCTCCCCACTGCTCATGCTCTCTCTCTCCATCTCTCAAATAAATAAATAAAATCTTAAAAAAAAAAAAAAAGGAATTTCCTATATACTATACTTGTTTTTGGCAGTTAAGTCTTACTTAATTCTTCTGCTCAGATTCTATGCTCTTAAGGGATCTTAATTTGTCTCTCAAGATGAAATACTGCGGAGAGAAATAGTTTTTCCTCCCATCAACTACCCGGTTTAGTAGCATCCCAAACTTAGTGGTTTCTCCCTTTCCCCCAATATCAAAGGACCGACTGCTGTCCTTGCCATCCCTCTATATAATAACAATTTAATTAATAGCCATGTTAAATATGTAATTTGAAGGACAAGATTTCAACTAGAAATGTTTTAGGTCTGTGCTGGTTTTAAACCATGACACAAATTCTTTGCTACTCCTCTCATCAAGAGGTAGGTTATCATGTTTCATACCCTTCAATTCAACAAAGCTGTGATTGGTTTAATCAGTAAATTCTGGAAGAAGTGATACCGTGTGACTTCTGAGGACTGGTTTTAAAAGGCTACACACGTTCCACCTTGTTTGATTAACACCTGATTTTGATGCCATTATCTGTCATATAAAGCATCCTACTACCCAAAGCTACTATGCTGTGAGGAAGCCCAGGCTACATGTAGGCACTCTGGGCAGCCCTCGGTAGCTTCTTAGACCATCTCCTCACAGTCAACCCACCATGATGACCATGCCCTTCCATGATTCCAGTAGTAACTGCTCAGGAGGCCAACCCTCAATGGATCCACTCTGTCCACTGGAGAGCTCCCTGCTGGTCTTCAGCTGCTGCTCAGACACCAGACATTTGAGTGAAGAAGCCTTCACATGACTGTACCCCCAGTCATCTGAGCTACCTCCAGCTGAGACCCTAGACACAGTGAAGCAAGGACAAATTATCCATACCTGCTGTGCCCTTTCCTAATTCCTGGCCTACACAATCTAAGAGCAGAATAAAATGATTATGAAATTATTGTAAATGATTATGAAATACTGTTTTATGCCACCGAGTATCAGGAATTGTTATCCAGGACAGATTACCTAAACAAAGTCTACCAACTATTTGGGAAGATATTATCCTCCCCTTTGATCATATCTAGAAATCTAGCTTAAAAAAACTACATTTTCATGCATCCTTAAAATTACAGAGTGTTTTCCTTTCAAATAAAAATATTACTACTAATTCTTCTTTCTTTTTCTTGCATCTTCCTTAGAATGGAACATTTGGTTACATCTGTTAGTCCTCAGGGTGATATGTATGTATATGTGTATATATATATATATATATATATATATATATATATATATATATATATATCAATCATTAGGAAACTGGCTCTTAGTTTTTCCTTCCCTAACCAGGATAATCTCAGGTCTTTCCACCTTTCTTTGGGGTTTCTTTTTCCAATCACTTAAGTTGATTTTGTAACTTGCTATCTCTTTATTCTATCATTTAATAGTATTTCATGTCTATTTTAAGTCGTAGAACACGGAAGTAAATAAATGAACCTAAGATGTAGTCAAAATGTGTATTAGAGGACAATTATATCAGGTGTTCTATATTGTTTCTATTTATACACACTAGTGCTATACTTTCTTTTTAAGCATACAGGTATGTTGTTGATTTATAATCTAAAGTTACACTGATCCAAATTCTTGTGTTTAATTTTTTTCTATAAATGTTTTCCTTTCTTTTTTTTTTTTTTTTTGTAAGATTTTATTATTTATTTGACAGAGAGACACAGCGAGAGAGGGAACACAAGCAGGGGGAGTGGGAGAGGGTGAAGCAGGCCTCCTGACAAGCAGGGAGCCCAGTGTGGGGCTTGATCCAGGACCCTGGGACCATGACCTGAGCCAAAGGCAGACGTTTAATCACTGAGCCACCCAGGTACCCCATAGATATTTTATCTTAACCAAGAACCTTAGAGTATTAGAAAAAGTATAGGATTTGAAGCCAGAAATCTGGGTAAGTGATATACTATGTAGGTAATATTAAAATAAACATCTTAAAATTCCTGTACCAATTTCTTCACAAACCATTGTGAGGCTCAAATTTTCAACCAAATAATAAAAAATTCAGCTCCTAGCACCAGAAATCCTGTATCTTGCCTTCTACCATTATATGTCTCAGGTCACATTTTTATATTAATACAAATCTGATAACCAAATTTTATTCCAACATCTATATTAATAATAAAAATAATGGGCCTTAGGGGCATCTAGGTGGCTCAGCTGGCTTGATGTCTAACGAGTTCAGTTCAGGTCATGATCTCAGGGTAGGGAGAATGAGCCCTGCGATGGTTGTGGTGTCTCTTTGTCCCTCTCCTTTTGCCCTTTCCCCTGCTTGTGCTCATGCTCTCTCGTGTTCTCTCTCACTAAAATAAATAAATCAAATCTTTTTAATAAAAATAATGCGTCTTAGAAAAAATACCTTAAAAGTATCATTTACCAATACCTCATACTATCAGCTGGGTATCATTACTTACATACAAACACCTGTGTTTAGTAAATTATCTCAAAAAATGAAATTTAAAATGCATACCTTCCTTCTTCAAGTTCCTGAATCATGTATCATGTGTGTGTATGTGTGTGTGTGTGTGTGCGTGTGTGTATGTGTGGGGATTAAAAATAGGTATTTCCCTTAATAGGAAAAGATGATGTCAGTAGAATCAGATTGAATTTAGTTATCACATCATGGGCCTCTCCACCTTTGGGCTTCAATGAATTAAGAAATAAGAACCAGGAAACACAGCATCTGATACTTCATGTTTAAACAGAAAGGTACTATTACTATAGAAAGCGCCATTTGTAACCAAATCAATAAAACAAACCTACGACAGACAAAATACAAGATAGAACCATCATTATGAAAGTGTGGTCTTACCACACCAGATCTTATTTAAATAGCTACTATTTGGCAAAAATACTTATTTTTGCCAAAAATACTATTTGGCAAAAATTAACATCCTTATTATTACTATAATTAAAATTAATTGTCAAAAACAACTTGTATCAACAATACTTCATTTTTTTTTTAAAAAGGAAAGTAGTAAAACTGTCTTTGAACCAAAAATAATAACAATACTAGCAACTGCCATTTACTGAGTATTTGCTTAATGCCACCCTTGGGGTGCCTGGATGGTTCAGTCAGGTAAGCATCTGCCTTTGGCTCAGGTCATGACTCCAGGGTCCTGAAATCGAGCCCCACATTGGGCTCCCCGGCTCAACAGGGAGTCTGCTTCTCCCTCTCCCTCTAACCCTCACCCCGTTCATGCTCTCGCTCTCTCTCTTAAATAAATAAATAACCTTTTTAAAAAAGTGATGGTAGAGTACATATCTTTAATTCTCAATTAATTGCCCTGAACCACTATACTACTATGGAGGAATAATTGTTTTTGTAAAAGATTTATTTATTTATTTTAGAGAGAGAGAGAGAGAGAGAGAGCACTAGCAGGAAGGGTAGAGGAAAAGAGAGAGAAAACCCCAAGTAGACTCCACACTGAGCGAGGAGGCTGGCTTTATCTCACGAACCTGATATCACTACCTGAGCCGAAACTACGAGTCAGACACTTAACCAACTATGCCACCAGGCACCCTGGAAATAATGTATATATATCACAGAAAGCCTCATACCTCCTTTTGGTTATATTTGATAGCAAGTTTTAGACGACTTAAATTCATTCTTTCTTCTAGTAATCCCCGTTTGTCAAGAGGCTCATCACTAGATGTATGGTTTAGGATAACTTCCAATTCTCGTGAATTCCGTGCTTGTGCAAGCAAATCTTTAGCAAACATTTTACATTGTCGGGCTAGTTCCTCATAATCATTCCTGCAAAATCCAACAGTTTATTATTAGAAATGTCACTTCCAGCTTCTAATTAAGCTCTTTTCAATAGAAAATTACTTACTCAATAACATTTTAATTCTGACAGGGCTCTTCAAAATCTGAAGTCATTTGTGCTGATGGTCAAAAGAAGCTACTGGTGCATAAATTCTCTACAGCTTTGGGGGAAACTGTAACACAATTATATTACCTGTGTTCACACGAATAATTTTAGAGGAGTACAGTATTTCCTTATACATACTGATATTCCTAGAAATTCTGTTTATAGTTTCCAACCAGCTATTAACTCATTTGCCATTATTCTCTGACGTAAAACTTCTTTCACATTACTCATCTAAACAATAGATAATAACAATACTATCCAATAAATATTACTATGTAACTTTTAATGAGAGTTGTTTTCAATAATTGTCTACATGATATTTTGATATTAAAATAATATTCTCATTCACTTTTAAAGTGTTCGTTTGAATAAAATTCAAGTTGGAAAGAAATGACACTGAAATACTCCTAGTAAAGAATTTTCTTTCATAATCACTATTCCCTGAAACTTAGGATTTAACTGCTGATTAAAGACGGGTCTAAATTGGGGTGTCAGGGTGGCTCAGTTGGTAGGGCAACTGCGTACGGCTGACGTCATAATCCCAGGGTCCTGGGATAGAGCCCCGCATTGGGCTCCCTACTCCTTGGGGAGGCTGCTTCTCCCTTTCCCTCTGCCTGCTGCTCCCCCTGCTTGTGCGCGCTCTCTCTCTCTCTCTCCCTATCAAATAAATAAATAAAATCTTTACGGGAAAGAAAAAGACAGGCCTATATCAACAAACTTGTGAGAAACTGAGAAGTTTTAGCAGATAATTCTCTTTAAGAACATCAGTTATATTAAAATTATGTCTGAGTGTATTAACTCAAAAATAAAGTTAGATAGGTATAAATATGAGTCAATTGGGGTCAGATTCAGAAAATAATTTTTATTCCGTTTTTCTCTTTTTTTAAAAAGATTTTATTTATTTATTTGACAGAGAGAGAGAGAGAGATCACAAGTAGGCAGAGAGGCAGGAAGAGAGAGAGTGGGGGAAGCAGGCTCCCTGCCGAGCAGAGAGCCCGATGTGGACCTTGATTCCAGGACTCTGAGACCATGACCTGAGCTGAAGGCAGAGGCTTAACCCACTGAGTCACCCAGGTGCCCTTCATCTTTTGCTCCTTACTGGGAAAGGGAAAAACAGAAAAATTTCCCAATGGTTAATCATCTATATAATGGGATTTTCCATGAACAGAAAATTATCACTCAAAGAATTAAAAACTTTTCCTTAGAGGCTAACATTTTTCTATCTATTCTTTGGATTTACTATATAACCAAAACTACCTAAAAATAAGTAATTATATTTCTTTAACAAATGAAGTATTACTGCTTCTTAGTCTAGGAATCCAATTACAGATGAGAATATTCATCAAAAGTATGTATTATTACAAAGAGGTCTCATCTTTAGGTAAACACTGACAGGCCACTGAATTCAGTAAGATTAATATATTTTATTAATCTAATTTTCTTAATCTTTAACAAATTATTATAAGACTAATAAGTGGCTGTGTATAGTTTAGTTGGAAATATAGTAGACTAGAAGCCAGGAGTCCTATGTTCTAGTTATAATTCTTGCTCACTCTGTTCCTAATTAGATGCTGCTTATCAGTAAAATATCTAACCTATATAGATCACTTTCCCTGCCTACAAAAACAAGGGGATTGGGGGCACCTGGGTGGCTCAGTCGGTTAAGCGTCTGCCTTCGGCTCAGGTCATGATCCCAGGGTCCTGGGATCGAGCCCCACATCGGGTTCCCTGCCCGGCAAGAAGCCTGCTTCTCCCCCTCCTCCTCACTTGTGTGCTCTCTCTCATTATCTGTCTCTCTCTCAAATAAATAAATAAATAAATTTTTAAAAAATGGAATTAAAGTAAATGGTCAAAATCTAACTTTATCATCCGATGATTACAGAATAATCATAGCAGTTGCTTCAAATCCTTTTTGGAAGGAACTGAATGAATTCTACTTTATATGGTAACTGAGAACTCCAATTATAAGATTATAATAAGAAGTTCTTTAGAATTAAAAGGAATAACTTATTAACAGCCTTATATGCTAATAAAGTTAAAAGTACCAACAAGTTACATTTTAACCATGTCTTGTGTTTTTCTTCAAGTATGTACTTTGTGTCCTATCAAGTTTAAATAAAATAAAATTTAACTTATCCAAATTGAAATACAGGAGTTCCATACTTAAAAACTTATGAACAGGTTATTTAAAAAGTTTCTAGAACTCAGCTATCAAAAACACACTATAAACTGTTATTAAGGCATAAAAAAACTGCAAGCTTCTTGTCACCCTTCCAGGAAGAAGTCTGAATCTTTCCATCTTGTCAAGTCACTAGAGGAATGCAATGCAAAGAGGGGGCGCCTCCCACAGCAGCTATACTGAAAAGGAAAGGTAGAGATAGGTATAACCTGCACCCCAAAAACCTTCCAGCAGGAACTATCAAGAAATGATCAATCTCTCCTTCAGGGGGCACAAGGGATACTTTAAAATAAGGGAAAGTCTCAAAGATTTTCCTCAAGTCTAAGAAATATAATTTTCTAAGGACCTTCATTTTTTTTAATGTTTAAATTAAATAGTTTAATAGGCTACTTTTCCCAAAGCCTTTTTTTGTTCCCCCACCTTAACTCTCTAAGGGAAATTGATAACAATGGTTCTTGCTGTCAAAATTACATTTAACTCTTCATTTCAGAAGAAAACTCAGAATGGGATTCATCCCTCTTAATCAGCAGTATTTCATTTCTATGTAATAGTTTCTTTTTCCAAAGCCTTTTTCTGTCATCCCAACTTAACTCTCTAAGAGAAATTGATAAACGACGATTCTTTGTGTCAAAATTACATTCAACTCTTCATTTCAGAAGAAAACTCAGAATGGGATTCATCCCTCTTAATCAGTAGTATTTTACTTTTATATCTACATGTTATGTGTCTCCTAATAGAAAAATCTCACCAAACAGTGAAAACAGACTATGTCTGTGTATATGGAATGTTCCTGAAACACAGAAAGCATTCTACATGCTTCTGAAAGTTATGAAGGACCAAGCTCTCAGGATGACTATAGAATCTGAGAATGAGGAGAGGTAGAATAGAGAACAGTTACAAATTTGCTCTTGCTTAAGGCTGTCACTCCCCCTACTCTTCACTGTCTTAGAACTCCTTTGGCAACATTCAACAAATGGCAAAGGGCAGGTGGAGAAAGAGTGACCTAAGTAACATCAAGGTCTATTATTCCACTGAGCCTGAAGGAAAATCCCAGGTAAGTGGCAGCAAGGTCTGGTCATCTTGGATCAAAAGTAAATAAATATAAACATGAATTTGGTTTATGGAAAAAAAAAAACCTCAGGCTGAAGGGATTCTGGAAAGAAGGATATAATTTACAATTTCCACTCATTCTCACCTGAATTCCACCTCCACAAGACTTAATTCTTTTAAATCAGCACTAAGTTCAAATGCTCTCAGAATTGGATCCTCCTCCGTTAACATTATTAGAGCTGGACTGGCCAAACAGCGATATATATCAAGACGAAACCTGTGATAAAATTTGATTCCATAATGTAAAATAAATGGATTATACACACATAATTAGTATTTTCAACCTATAATTTTCATAAATTTAAAATTAAAGTACTATAAAATTAAAAGAAAATAAAATAACTATAATATACTTATTACAGGATATACTACATAAAGACTTAAAAAATAAGTCTTTGTATTTTTCAATCCAATTTAATTAAAAAATTTCTATTCTTGAACCAATATTACTTTAAATGGAATAGGCTAATAGCTAATACATTTTGAATATGATGTGAATGGTTATTAAATTTTTCCTTCCTCAGTGTTAAGACTACATTAATACACTAGATATATATAACACATGACTCATTCAACCAGGTTATTTTTTTTTTCAACCAGGTTGTTTTTTAAAGATATTTCAAATCTTAGGAATGAAATCATTCATTTATGTATAATCTCTAGATAATGGAAAAGCACACCACTTTACCTTCTGTAAACTAGTTATGATTCATATTTAATACCTAAATAAGAAGCAAACCAGAAAATTTTTGCAATAAATCTTTCATTTATAAACATATAATTTTTAATTTATAAATTTAGTAGATATTATATAATGTATATTTCCTTCCAAACATAAATTTAATACATGCTTGTTATTAAAAAAAGCAAGCAGTTTTAGGGGTGCCTGGGTGGCTCAGTCGGTTAAGTGCCTGCCTTTAGCTCAAGTCATGATCCTGGGTCCTGAGACTGACCGCTGTATCAGGCTCCCTGCTCAGCGGGAAGCCTGCTTCTCCCTCTACCTCTCCCTCTGCCTACTGTTTCCTCTGCTTGTGCTCTCACATGTGCGCTCTCTTCTCTCTGTGAAATTAAGTAAGTAAATAAATAAATAAATAAAGCCATTTAGAAATATGATGGTCCCCAGTTCTCCTCCTTCCACCAACTCTACTCCTCTAAGAATGATCAAATTACAGAGAATTATGAATATCCTTATTATTTTCAATTCAAACACAAACATAATCAGACATATTATATAAAGGAACAACTTTTTCTATGTTACTACATATAGAGTCATGTCATTTTTTTTTCCCAAACTGGATGGTTTCCCATTTGATGGCAGCTCATCAGATCTCCAAAAATGGAAATTTCAGTTGCTTCTAATTTTTTACTTCTATAAATAACACAGCAATGAATATTCTTATATGTTCTTTGCACACTCAGAATTGCTGCATAAAATGGCATATGTATCTTAAATTCTAATAGATGTTTCTAAAGCACTAACAATAAAGAGAGCTCATTTCCCCCTATATCATTAATATTTTGCCACTTTCACGAATGAAAAATGGAATTTTATGTGAATTTCTTAAAAAGCTTAAGCATCCTTTCCTGTTTACTATCCATTTATACTACTTCTGTAAATTCCTGTTCATTTTCATTAGCCTATTTTTCTGATAATTGTTTATTTTTAAAATAAATTTGTAAGACCTACATATCAAAGAAATTAGCCCTCTGTCTAGTCAAAGTATTTTAAATACTTTTTTCCCAGTTTATTGTTTGTCTGCATTCCCCCAACTAACCCAGAGACTCATCAGAAGACAGTAGAACTCTTTTATAGGCTCAAAGTGTATTAACATAAATTCTACCCAAATCAGTGGCTCACCTATACAGACCTGAAATGACCCTTAGGAATCAAGGCTAAAAAATAAAAATAATCAGGGGTGCCTAGGTGGCTCAGTCAGTTAAGCATAAGCTCAGGTCATGATCCCAGGGTCCTGGGATCGAGCCCCGAATCGGGCTCTCTGCTTAGCCTGCTTCCCCCTCTCTCTCTACTTGCCTCCCTGCCTGCTTATGATCTCTGTCTGTCAAATAAATAAATAAATAAATAGCTTTCAAACTAGTATTACTAGAGCCTCATAGTTCACTGATTTTCTCAATTCCAAATCCTACTTTTCTAGCCAACCTGTACAAATTCAATTGCTTTCAAGGGTGAAGTGGGTTATAATATGAGTAAAGTTGAGTATACTTTGGGCTTACAGGCATTCAAACTCAAAACTATAAAAATCACTATGCAGTTTAAACAAGGCACTTCTCAACTTTTTAAAAACTTTGTCTTTCTTTGATAGACAATAAAGATTTCAAATATTCCTTTAAAGTTATTCAAAATTTCACAACACATTTAATAATTGAGACTAAAACCAAATCATAGCAATTATATTACTGAAAATGTTTTTCTAAACTACAATGGTCCATAACCCTTCCCTACCCCATTTAAAATTATGGCCCCTGGGGCATCTGAGTGACTGGGTTGGTTAAGCGGCTGCCTTTAACCCCAGGGTCAGCAGGGAGTCTGCTTCTCCAACTGCCTCTCACCCCACTCGTGTTCTCTCTCATTCCCTTTCAAATAAATATAAAAATTTTAACAATAATAAAAAAAAAAGTAAGATAAAATAATCACCCCTAAGGGGTGCCTGGGTGGTTCAGTCAGTTAAAGGTCTGCCTTTGGCTCAAGTTCCCAGGGTCCTAGGATCAAGCCTGGAGTCTGGCTCCCTGCTAAGTGGGGAGTCTGCTTCTCCGCCTTCCTCTACCTCCCTTCCCACCCCCTGGCTTGTGCTCTCTGTCTCTCAAATACATGAAATCTTTAAAAATAAATATATAAATAATAAAATAAAATTACTGCCCCTCGATCTTATCATCACCTGAAACTTCAGCATCTCTAAAATTTAAAAACCAGTAACTTTATACAGACTGCCTCACTTCTTTATTGCCAGGATACTGGCTCTTCAACTTCACTAAATCCTTCACCCATATCTCTTTTTACTCATGTTGTTACCCTCTTTTCTTCAGTAAGTCTACTTAGCAATTCCAAGAAATGACTTGTAGCCAGGATATTTGCCCTGTTTTCCCAAATATCAACAATAAACTCTCAAACTTTTCTGTAAATACACCATACCATTTGGAGTTCCCTAAATAAACCACAACCACATACTGCATTTTCTGCATAAAACAACCTTTTTATTTTTTTAAGATTTATTTATTTATATATTTACTTACTTATTTATTTGAGTGGGGGTGTGGTAGGGAGGTAGCAAAAGAGAAAATCTCCCCACTGAGCACAGAGCCAACATGGGGCTCTATCCCATGACCCTGAAAGCATGACCTGAGCCAAAATCAAGAGTCAGAGACTTAACCAACTGAGTCACCCAGGGGCCCCTCTTTTATTTTTATTCATACCTAAAGACCAAGCTCATGCCACCAGCTCCTCTAAAAGCTTTCAGAACAAAGCTTTTTCCCCACCTGAAACAGAACCAGGCTTAGTGTTCTCTCGAGCCCCAATTCCTACAACCTCAGCTGCTTCAACTACACACATATTTAATAAGCATACAATTTAGAAATACTTATATTTAATATTAATAAAGGATTTTAAAACTAGAAGAAGCCTTAAAGATCATTTCTGCTTGTCATTTTACAGACTAGTCATTTTAAAACTCAAAAGTTAATGGTATAGCCTTAACTATCAATGAGATCTTAAACCCCTCCCCCCAAAATAGGTCTCATTGAAACTTGAAAATAGAAAAACTTTCCAGTTCAACCTCTGCAAATAAACATTAAACTGATTCCCGGGAGACTTTCTCAATTTATGGATCTGTGACTATCTGTCAATCCACCAAAGATCTGTCCTTAAGGTATGGAAGGAGTAAGGGTGAATAGCTTGCAGCTTTAAGGCTAATTTCACATACTGTAAAAACAGTTTGTCAAGGGGCTACTTAGGACTTCCAGACCACATTTCCCATAGTAACTGTTATATTTGATGTAATTTCAACTATATTTGATTACTACACAGGTAATATATATATATGAAGACTTAAGCTGAAAATAAGATTCTTAAGTCTGGCCCAAAATTTTATACAACATGCCCATGTGTGTGCTCTTGCTCAGCCTGTCCGAGTTGGGATACTTTCTTGTTCATTTTCTCCTCAGCTATTCTGACTTTTTTGACTGGGGAGAAAGGGAAGAGAAAAAGATTTAAATATTGTGTGAAAGGGGAAGTAAGAGGCATAACAACTTAAGTATTTAGTCAGACAGAACATACTTTTTATTTCCTTGTAAATAAGATAAGAAGGGGTAGCTCCACCCCTCCCACTATTTGGAAATTCTCTTAGATTAATAAACTCTGCTTTTAAAAAGTAAATAGTGTCTCCAAGACCCACCAGCAGAAGTACGAGGTAAACCTTATTCAAATTTGAAGACTTCTCCTAACTACATATCATTTACTAAATACTTCTAAAAAATGTAAAACTCATATTAACCAAAGGAATTAGAAGTTTAGCTTTCATAAGCCATTCCAGTACCATATTTCTTAAAAGCCGCATAGAAAGAAAAACAACAAAAATTTCACGGACATATACCTTAGTAAATTGCACATCTATTTATCAAAACCTTAACTTTCTAACCTGGAATGTCGGAGGCTATCTTTTTTGTTTTTTGCAGAACACAACGTGCATTCACAGCCAACTGCATGGGGCTTGGGTAGAGACACATCCTGTTTTAACAGCATTGTAAGAATTTCATAGTTGTTACGATGAGCAGCCAAAATGACAGGTGCAACATCCATAGTTGTTGAATACTCAGGATTCTGAATTCGTTCCATTAGTTTCTGAAAAATATTTATATAAATGTATAAAATTATTATTTGTGACTTCAAAATAATATACTTATTGAAAATGAAATGAAAAAATCAGAAGGCACAAAGAATATAAGAATTATTTTTAAAAATATGATAAACATTTTACCAGGACTCAACTTGTTTTGAAACCTTATAATCAATATTAATTAATAAATGCAATATAATCATGACAGACAAAAATCTTCAATAGGACACATTCGTACAACTAGAGTCCTGCTTTCCTAACAAAGAAGAAGTGAGGATACCTAGAGAAATACTTTAGGGAAAAGTGTTTCATTTTCACAAGATTATGGAAACATGCATGACAAGGATAAAGAACAAGAATCTTAGAAAAAGAATATAAAGGAAAAAACAGAAATGTTAAAAATAGGCAGAGTATAAATGCATGAGAAAAACTTAAAAATTCCAACTTTATGGAAACCTTGTCACGTTAATAGCAATGAAGGTACCTGAAAGGAGTAAGTAAATAGGAAGCACTCTTCATTTTGTGTAATTCTCTACATATTCCCAATCACTACCTATACTATTTCCTGTTAAAAATGCACAAAAACACTAACAATAATAACTACTATTCATGAGTCCTGGGACTTTTAGGCACTTTACGTTTATCTCATTTAATCCCCAAAATGCCTGCAAAATTGAACATTATAATCCCCATGAAAAAACTGAGGCTCAGAGAAGTTAACGCGCCCAAGCTACACAACAGAGTGGCAAAATGCAGATCAGAACTCATGTCCATATTACACCAGAGCCTGAGCTGCTTTCCCTACATGGGCTCATGGGCCTGCTGATGGCATGACATGAGGAAGGAAACATAAGTAAACAAAGAACCAGGGTTAAATAAAAAGATTGACTGATTTATGACTATTGCATATTCTTCCCAATACTTCTCACTTTTTCACATGGCTTTTCCTGAGAGCTGTTTGATTCCATTGCATAAGCTTATCAAGTTCATAGGGTTTTTTGGGTAATTTTTATTAACGTTATAAAAGTAGCACACACATATTTTAAAATATCTGAAAAATAGAGAAAAGCAGAAAGAAGTATAAAAATTCCCATATTCCTACTATGCAAAATACATTTTACAGTGTCTCCTTCCAGTTCTTTCTCTATTATACCTCCTTTTAAGGACATCTTTGGCATAAGTGATTTGGCATTGATGATTAAAAACAATGGTCCTTACTATTTTGAAATTCAATGCTTCTAATAATTTCATAAAACAATAGCCCAGAATTTCTGGGAAATAAAATTCATGTGTAGACCTAGCATGTAATTTAAGAAAATTCATAGACCTATGTTCAAGATATTTTGTTTTGCTTATTTAAATAACACTACCACAAACATCTTTATGAATACAGCTTTTTTGAAATTTAGGATAAACTCATTAACCACAGAACCCCTGAAGTGCAATAATAGGTCTAAAGGCCATGAACAGTTTTGAAGCTTTTGATATAGATCACTAAAGTTCTTTTCATAGTTTATATTGCCAATAATATACAAATGTACCCATTTCACACTCAAGGTTCACTCACCAGCACTAGGCATGTTCATTCCCAATTTATGAGTGAAAAAATACTTTCCTTTGATTACTGGCTAAGTTCTAGTATTTTCCAACATCCTTAGCTTTCCCCCCTTCTTTTATGAATAGTTTCTTTATATACTTCCCATTTATTTCCTGGAAACTTCAAATTAAAGAATTTATTTAAAAATAAAAAAGAGGGGTGCCTGGGTGGCTCAGTGGGTTAGCCTCTGTCTTCAGCTCAGGTCATGATCTCAGAGTCCTGGGATCAAGCCCCACATCGGGCTCTCTGCTCAAGCAAGGAGCCTGCTTCCTCCTCTCTTTCTCTGCCTGCCTCTCTGCCTACTTGTGATCTCTGTCTGTCAAATAAATAAATAAAATTCTTTAAAAAATAAAAATAAAAATAAAAATAAATAAAAATAACAAAGAAATCTAAAAATTTAGCCCTTTCTCCCCTTATTACTGGTTATAAAGAAAACTGTATCTAAATAATGTTCATATTTTTCCTATAAAATATACTTGACTACATGAAAAACATTATTAGAAGATTAAAATTCGTTATTTCATTATTCATAATATAATCTACATCTATCAAAAAACCGACCTGTATTTGAAAATCAAAATTTATCAATACATAATTTTGATAAGCTAAGAATGCAGAATTCACTGAAATCATAAAAAAAGTATATAAAAATATTTGACATTATCTGTCAAGAAGTATTAAGGCTCTTAAAATATGATCTTGCCGTCACTGAAAGTACTCAAGCAAAGGCTGGATACCCCTTTTCGTTAGAGATGAAGTACAAAGTGTTCTTTCACTGAGTAGGTGAAGACTGCCAGAGCCTTATGACTCAAGAGTCGACTGGTGGTGCTAATGGCGATGAAATAATGTCAGCCAGTTGCTCCAATACCTGGCATACTACACCCCCCTCTCCCTGCCAAGAAAGTAAATGGGTAAAAAGGCTACAAGGTGGAATAAGTATACCAAAATATAACAATGACTGCAAGACAGATGACAGAAAATCGAATAGGATTCTAGGTATTTCTGATCATTTGGACAAGGGCTATATTCTTAGCCTTTTTTCCTGTTCCTTTCGGTTTCTTATCACCACTAAACCTAGCTGGTACTACCATCTAGAGCAAGTCATACTTACACATACTTTCTAATACCTAAATGAAAGTAAAAGATTTCAGCTAATGTCTGATAAAGTATGCAATTTAGCAGAGCTTCTCATTGTTCTCAGACAATGGCAGATAATCCACAACTAATTTATAATTCTTTCTTAAAATGGTGTTTTTCTTCAGAGGATAGCCAGTTTACACTATCAGCAATTATTTAAACTACTTGTTTTAACTACATCCTCATCAATAATGAATGTTGTAATTTTTAAATTTTGAAATATAACAAATATCTCATTTTAGAGTAGAATTTATCTGATCATTAGTGACTGTCTTAAAAACTTAAAGCAATAAGGAAAATTAAAAGGAGTAAGGAAAAAATATCCTTAATATAGCAATGAGATGACTGCTGTTAGATAACATTTTGCTACATTTCCATATAGTTCCTTGTCTGTGCATCTTTTTAACATTGGCTCATATTATATGTCCAGTTTACTATTCTCATTTTTTTCACCTTCCTAAGTCATATTTATTCAGGTTCCTAAATATTCTTTTAAAAATATCATTTTAATATATATGTGACTTTCACTATTTCCAATCTTTTATCTGGGGATGTTTAAATTGGGTCACATGGTTTTTTCATTGCTATAAGTAAGATCACAACATTTTTCTCCCCATTTCTGACAGTTCCTAGAAGGGGAAGCACTAGGTTAAAGAACATGAACAGCTTTCTTATTTATGACACACTCTGCCAAACTGCTTTCCAAAATACCCTCCCCAACAATTTGTGTTAGACTGTACTACTCTTTTGCCATCAATGATAATTATTTTCAAAAATCTTTACTAATTTGCATTCAAACAATGACCAAACAATGGAGAGCCCAAATAGCCATTGACAGATGAATGGATAAAGAAGAGCTATATATAATGCAATATTACCCAGCCATTGAAAAGAATGAAAACGTGCCATTTGGAATGATATGGATGGAGCTAGAGCATATTATATTAAGTGAAATGAGTCAGTCAGTCAAAGATGAATACCATATGATTTCACTCATATATGGAATTTAAAAACAGATGAATGTATGGGAAGGGAGGGAAAAAGGCAGGAGGGAAATGAACCATAAGAGACTCTTAATGACAGAAAAAAAACTGAGGGTTGATGGAAGGATGTGGGTGGGTAGTGGGCTAGATAGGTGATGGGTATTAAAGAAGGCACTTGTGATACACACTGTGTTATATGTAAGTGATGAGTCACTGAATTCTACTCCTGAAACCAACATTACACTATATGTTAACTAAAATTTAAATAAATAAGTAAATCTTTGCTAATTTGATGAGCAAAATTTGGTATTTCATATCTTACTAGTAGTAAGTTTTAATATCTTATATTTTTTTTTCTGAGACTTTTTTTTTCTGATCCTGGTGTTTTTCATCAATTTTTCAATTATTAAGATTATGAATTTGTGATATATTTTGAAAATATCTTTGCCAGTTATCCATCTGCTTTCTAAATTCTGCTCGATGTCTGAATTCCAGAAATTTAACTTCTATACAGCCAAAGGCTGTGCCATTGCTTTTTATGATTAGAAAGTCTTTCCACTCATAATCAGTTAAATATTCACCTACCAGTTTTATGGTTTCACTGTTTATGTCTAATTCTTAAATCCATTTGGAAACTAATCTGTATTTTCAACCTAATCTATAGAATATCCAAAACTAAAAATATTGGTCCACACTGAAAATTATGAAAATATCACTAATTTTAAAAAGGTTTCCTGAAAGCAAAATTAATTCCTGCAAGTATCTATTTACTTGAAGGCAATATTTTACAGAGTAAAAAAAAAATCTATTTCTTTAAAACAAAATAAATTTAGGGGAAGAAAAAAATGGCAATGGGGCAGGAGATCTATTTTGGTTCAAAAATCCAAATTAATAAATATTTAAGAGTACTAACTACTATAGTTGGTCTTGATGATCGTTTTGGTCGATGATTAAGTAGTATATCAACAGCTCCCACTACTTCAGAGTCGATTGCCACCAAAAGTGCATCTGCGGACTTTAAAAAAAAAAAAAGGTTAAAAATGAAAATGGAGGATAAAAAGGTAAACTATTTATTTTTACTAATTCTTAAATAAAACTTTCTTTAAATTTAAAATGTAGTATATACAGTAATACTAAATTTTTAAAAATTTAGACTGTCCAAATAGTACATTTGCTTGCCTTAGCAGTACTTTTGTGTACCATAAAACATACAAATTTCTGTCCTGGTTTCACAAAAAAAATAAATGGTTGCTAAAAGTGTTTATTAGTGGAACAGTACTGATCCATGGAGTATTCAAAGCTGAAATTTCTTTTCAAGACCTCTACTTGTGAACTTTGAACCAAAAAGAAAATCTTAACATTCCAGATCTTTAAAGAAATTGCCAAGAACTATTACTACTGATAAAGGATTATGTTCATTCTAATAAAAATGACCATCAGGGCAACCATGAGGATAGGGGAGCTCTCTGGTCTCAACTTTAAAATATACATGGCTAACTGAAATGTTACAAATTTGACATTAATATTAACAATCTTATCAAGTAAAAGCTCTAAAAAGCTAGACTACCAATGTCCTTGGAGACAAGAGGGAGAAATGACTTTACAGTTTTACTCCCAAAGTATCATTCATTTTGAAATTCCAACTTTGATGGAGGAAAAAGTAAACAGAAGCTGAGCATTTGGGACTTTCCAACCCTGTAACAAAGTCGACAGTCCTATTATGATACTTGGCAAATGTGACACCAGGTTTTTGGGTTTCTTTTGGTTTTGTTCTACTCTGTTTTGTTTTAAGGAAAACCATAAAGGCAGAAGGGAAACATGGGGACAAATAATGATTTAATCTAAGAAAGTGCCCTGATTACTTTCAATCTGTACATTTTAAAAACTGTTACAATCTTTAACAACCATTTACATCAACTTTCTCCTCTTGAAAATGAAACTATATCAGATCTTTAGTATTCTTGGAACCGAAAAGAATAAAGCTTCTATATACTTTATCTAGATGTCAAAAATAGGACTAAAAACAACAGGCTTTATCTGGATAGCTAAAAATAGGAAATAGCACCCCAAAGAAAGAACTGGGGGCCACATTCAACTATTAGGAACCATCTATGTATTCCCACAGGAGAAACTCCCCACCCCAATGAGAAACTTAATTTTTTTATTCCTTAAAACTTTTAAGGTTCACTGGGCTGTAGCCTATTTAAATCTAGCATCATTATTCCGCTTTGCAAATATTTCTCTTCAATTTTTACCATACTTGGTCAGAAGAAGCAAACAAAAAGGATTACGTGTTCATTACTACTAAACATTTCATTTATGAATAATTTTAACTTATAAAGCTAACTATAGTAATGCTATGACTCTCCACGTCAAGATACCAGTCAACTCCAACCATTCAACACAGCCATGGATCTAACTGCAAATTTCAAAAAAAAAAAAAAAAAAAAAAAACCCAAACTATACGGAGTTGTCACAAACTAACTTCATGGGCATTATTTCCCAGAAGGAATTGTCTCAACCACACTAAGAGCTGTCTATAAAGGCAGGACATTTTTTCCCCCAAATATTCTTCACATCTTTATTGAATAAAGAAACAGATTACAACTAACAAAGTAGAAAGAAATGAAGAAAAAATTACTAAAAGCCAACTACTGAAAAGATAAAGTATCAGTATAGCAAAACAACTATCAATACAGAGCAGTCAGAAGCAATTTAACTTAAGGACAAACATGTTAATAGCTTCAGATTATACAAAGCAAAGTGAAACAATTATATTCTCAGTGATTCCCACTTACGATGGTAAAGTTAAACTATATTCAGATACACTATTTAGCAAAGAATATGGAAAGATTCATGTTAAATCTTCCAATGCTTAAAAGGATAAGCTTCAGGTATAAAATATTTGTGTAAAAAAGTCATGTAAATAAGGAGTTCCCATTAACTTATTCTGCACAAATTGGATGTTATTTGATAAATCAAAGGAAGTTCTGAATGTAAAAAAAGTTTAAATTATTTTAAAAATATCTATAGGACAAAATGTCATTGGTTTTGCTTCCCAATTTCTCACAAATATATGAACATCCCTTATTCAAATTTATTCAATATGTATACTTACTATGTATTAATGAGGTTGCTTACTATATTCCTTCCCACCTCAGAAAATGTCTTTTCATTTTCATTGTCATTCAAATCCCATACTCTTTTCTCTAGGCTCAGAGTAAGAAGCTTCTGATTCCCTTTCCGAAGTTAAGTTTTCTCCCTTGGTATTCTATTTAATGCTTTTCTGCCTTCTACAGGAACTTGGTCCTTCATTTACAAATACCAGTCCCAGCCTCCATCTCCCAAAATACAGATACTTCCTCACTCTTTGCTACCTTGTCCTGATCCTGTCTTTCTCTTATCATTCAAGTTTTCTTCCTCTCACTTTGTCAAACTTCTCAAATCATGTATATCATTTTCTCTAAATCTATTGATGCCAGTTTCAAAATCCAATGGCCCTTCCTACCCTTTCAATTTCTTTGATTTCTAAGCAACACATTAAAACTGTTTCTTTGTAATAAAAAAATAAAAAATTTGAAAAAAAACTACTGCTTTGGTTTTCAAAACGCTACACTATCCTAGCTCCTTTAATGGAACACTTTCCTTCTATTGCCTTTATTAATGTAGATGCTCCCTGAGAAAGAATCAGCACCAGTCATTCTCTCTCCTCTGTAATTTCATCCACTTTCACAACGCAGGTGATCATCCCATGTTGTGGACATGTACCTCTCCCTACACATTTAATTTCCATCTGTAACTATTTATTGGAGATGCCTGATATGCCCAAAATAAACAAGGCTAAAACCCAAATTCATATTTCTCTGCCTCGATCTTGACTTCTTAACTTCCTCTTTTTCTTTCATCCTTCTCCCAGCCACCTATGTTAAACATTTCCAAATCATCTTGGTCTCCTTTTCAATTCTTCCCTCCAAATTTAAATATTAAGTTCTATCAATTCTTCCTTCACAGCATCTTTCACATCTGCCATTTCTTCTCCTATTCCTACAGCTACTATTCTAGTTCATTATTGTAAAAACTGCTCACCCAAGCTATTGCCTTCTCCCCTTTCCATTTTACAAACTATACTGAACACAGCCACTAGAATACTTTTCCCAAAATACCACTGGACACAACACATCCTTTCTCAAAAATCATTTAATGATCCCATGATCTATAAACCCAAATTACTTAGCCTGGCATTCTGGCCCTTTTCATTTTGTTTTAGGTCTTTTCCCAGATATTTCCTGCTACTATCCAACCCAAATATTCTGTTCAACAGGCTAAGTCAATTCACTTTCTCAAAAATATACATTGCACCTGCCTTTGTTAACATCCTTCCCAACAACCCCTGTTCTGGAGCTATCTACACATTTTTGAGAGTAGTTTTGGGTAGTATGTAAAAGCACGGACTCTGGAGCCAGAACCTGCATTCTAATTCCAGGTCTGCCATTTGTGGAGTGTCTTTGGGCAAGTTACCTAAACTTCGTGTACCTTGTTTTCCTTCTCTATACTTGTAAATAATAATAGTACCTATCTCATGGACTGCTGTGAGGATTAAGGAAGTGAATATATTTAAGGTCCCTGGCACACAGTATCACTATAAAAATACTGGCAATTATTAACATTTAAAGGCTGAGCTCAACTGGCACTCTTCCGTGAAACCTTGATAGCTCAATCCAGAGGGACCTTCTCTTTCCTCTATTTCCAAAACATCTATTGCAAAGCACAAAAGCGTAAGTATAAAACATGGTTTCTCAACAGTGACAATACTGACATTTGGGGCCAGGTAATTCTTCACTGTATATGTTGTCTTGTGCACTGTAGGGTGTTCAGCAGCATCCCTAGCTTCTACTCACTAGATGCCAGTAGTGATCCATCCCCCAACTGTGAAACCAAAAATGTCTCCAGACATTATCAAATGTCCCCTGGCAAGCAAAATTATCCAGTTGAGAGCCACTAGGATAACTTAAGATAAAATAACACAAAAGTACTTTGTAACCTCAAAGTAATATACAAGGGTCAAGTACTACTACCACTCAGTACTTATCAAATACACATCTGCATTATTTAACTGATTTCAAACTCGAACGTACACAGTTGACCCCTAAGCAATGCAAAGGTTGGGGTGCCCACCCCCCACATAATTGAAAATCTGCACATAATTTTTAACTCCCCCAAAACTCAACTACTAGTAGCCTCTTGCTGACGGGAGCCTTACCTATAACATAGTCAATTAACACATATTTTGTATGTTACATGTATTATATATCATATTTTAAAAAATAACCTGGAGAAAAGAATATTAAAAAAAAATCATTAAGGAAAATATTTAGTCCTATACTATAAAAAATCCACATATAAGTAGACCCATGCAGTTCAAAACTGTATTGTTCAAGGATCAACTATACTTTCATTATCCAATTAGTTTTAATGTCCTTTAGTATGGAACTCATGTTTTACTTATTCATTTCCACAATCACACCCAACGGTAGGTCTTGTACATCTGTTAATTGACAGGCAAGACAGAGGTAACCTGAGACAGAACACACAATGAACTGGAAAGAGCATGGGATTTGCAGTCAGAAGATCAGGTTCGTATCTTAGCTCTGCCCTCACTTATTTTAGAACTTTGGGCAATTCATTAAAGTCTATGAGCCTCAGTTTTCTGATCTATAAAATGTAACACCTATATAGGTTGGCTATGATGTTCAAATATGATCAGGAACCATGCGAAAGAACCATGTACACTGCAGAATTATTATATACAGAGGAACATATATGTAAAAAGACAAAAATGATGATTATACCATAATAATTCATTTATCCAGAATCATCAGGGTCTTTCTTTATAACCTTGTTTTCTAGGTAACTGAAGCTTATGCCTTTAAGTGTTTAACTCTGAAATATAAACTATTTTGATGGACGTTTTCTACTTTCAGAAATACTATACATATTCTTCTAACTTCTAAAACAATAGGTACTGAATATAATTTAACTTTTCCTTACTTATTCTGGCCATTGTTGTAAATATTAATTACCATTCTAACATACAACTCCCTCAGAGATTATCAGATATATAAGGCTGTTGACCTCTTTATTAAAGAGAGTCAGAGGTACTACGGCCCATTTTGTTTCACTCCAGCCCTCATGCCCCTTTTGTTGCCCCTCTCATTCTCTACAGATTGAAGACTAAGTACTGACATCTGCTAAAAGTTGAAGGAGAGCTCTAGTACTCCTATGACTGAAGTTCATAAATGGAAAACTTCATGGCAGCTACTGTACAGAGATGTTGTTACTTTCTGATTCTCAAAGGTGTTCTGGGTAACTAAAATTGCTGGGAAACAATTTCTTTTTCTACTCTAAATATGTAAACATACTATACTGTATATTGTACTGCATATATATGTACACACAATAAAAATGCACATAGAACCTACTTATATTTTAAAACCTTCTGTGAGTGCTTCCTGATGTCACTCAAAAAAAAAAAAAAACCTCACTAATTTGAAGCTACAACAGAGCAATCATGCTATTTGAAAGAAAAAAAAAGTGCCAGAATTCATGTGCTCCCATCGTAAGCAAACCCAAAGAAAAAGAAAATAATATTAAATAATTAAATATTATTAAATTTCCTTCAGAATCTCTTGTCTTTCAAGACTTACATGAAGGAAAAAAAAAAAAGACTTATGAAGGGATGCCTAGATGGCTCAGTGGGTTAAGCGTCTGCCTTCCGCTCACGTCAAGATCCCAGGGTCCTGAGATTAAATCCCACATTGGGCTCCTTGCTCACCGGGGAGCCTGCTTCCCTCTCTGCTTGTCTTTCCCTGTCTTGTGTTCTCTCTCTCTCTCTGACAAATAAATAAATAAAATATTATATATATATATATATGTATTTTTTAAAAAAGACTTATATGAATGCCTGCTTTTCTACCTGAAACTGATATAAAGAGAAACAGAAAGGTTTATATATTCCAGCCTTTAAAAAAAGATTTGTTCAATCTTTAGTTATAAACACTAACTTCAGACCAAAAAGGAAAACTTAATAAAATTTAACAGGAGAAAATAAAAGTAAAGTTAAACATTGCACATTGTGAGTCAGGAGCATTTTGTTCTTATGTTTGTAAATTACATGAACCACAGAACAACCTGTTCCCCTGACACTTTCAGAACACTTGTACTGTTTTTAGATATATAACATAAATAGTGATAACATAAGTAATAAAAACAAAATCACCTTTAATAAATCATGATAATTTACTTCCGTGAGATGTTATAAAACACATAAAGGGGGGAACATAAAAATTTGGAGGGAAATGATAAGTCAAACGCACTTTTTTAAAAAAGGCTTTTTGTTTGTTTGTTTTAAAAACTTTTAGTGGCTCAAGACAAAGGGTAAAAGAAAGATAAGAATTTAAAAAAAAGCAAAGGAAGGAAAGAAGGAAGAAAGGAGGGGGATGAAAGGGAACTAGAAAGAAAGAAGAAAACATGGCATATCTAACAGTATTTAGAAGCTACTGGTAGAATTATCTAGCCTTGTACCTGACAACCGTAGTCCAAAAGAAGCTGCAGTATATCCAAGTTTTCGTTTTCAATAGTTATGGTAACAGCATTTCTCCCAAGCACATCTACGCAATTTATGTTCAAGTCACCTGAACTGTTTTCCTCCAAAATCTTTTTAACCATATAATAGTCACCTAAATAACAATATACAAACATAATTTAATATCCAAGACATATTAGATAAGAATGACTGTAAAAACTTAGCCTATTGATTTCAAACTTAGAAACCTAAACTCATTTTTGTATACGGAAATGTGCAAAGAAAATGTGATCATTTCCTTGCTGAAAACCTTGTCCTGACAAATTAGTATGTACATCAGCTGCAAACACAAAAAGTAGAAAAAATTTTAAATGTGCGGCTTAAAATAGAAGTTGTTAGTTTAAAATTCGTAACTGATTGATTATAAGGACAGAAACTTTTAGAAGATATTTAAAGCAATAAAACAACGTCCAAAAGTACAGACTGTAAACCAGAAAAATAACAAGCATAAAGGATTTAAGTTTTACATTTCAAATACACAAACACATTTACTGGTACATAATAATGGTTAAAAATAGATCTAACAACAAGCAGAGGATATTAAGAAGTGGTTTTACAGGGGAAAATCTAGTTGGAAAAGCAGTGTGTATACATGCTAGTGGTCACACACAGTAAAAGAGGATGCCAGAAATTCCTTTCCTCTCCTTCCCACTCTCACAACACAAACACACAAACACACACACACAACACCTTATCTCATTAATGAACCTGTTTACATCACCAGGAAATATTCAGCTCATAAAACTCTAAGGCAGGACTAGGATTAATGCTGTAAAGACTAAAATGAGAATATTTCAAAATGAAGTTTCACCTGTCAGGAACATGCAGATTACCTTCTGCCTAAGTCCAGCTTGCCTACATCAAAACAGGTGACCCATAGGGGAAAATGAGAATAAGTACAGAGGTCATTATTTTCACCCAGTGCCCATTATATTCACCTGTTGACCGGCTAGTGCAGTAATTTGGCAGAATGAATCCAAAGATAAGTGCTGATTAAATAAAGCAAGGTGAGTTTTGTTTATTTGATTTAACTTTTGAAACATAAGATGAATAAACCATTTTAAATGACTTGCAAATATAGTTGTTCCTTCAAAGTCTCTGACTAATAAACAGGAAAAGATCAGAGTAGAAACCACAATGAAAAAGAAATGAATAATTTCATGATACAGAAAGAAAAAAAACCCTAAAACTGAACGAAATGTCTGAATATGCAAAGTAACAGATTTTTGTTAGAACTTCTAACTTGCTACTATTTTTAGTCAATGACTTTTGGAAGAAGTTGAATAGTAGTATTTTTGATGGCGTATTTCCTTAGTTCCCTAAAGAAGAAAACTAGTCACAAAAAGAAGTATTTTCCTCACAGCACTAGTAATTTTTAAACACTTGTTCCATGACAAAAACTTACTTCACAAAGCAAAGCTTTTAGTCACGAGCTGAATGAATAGTGAACATACAGATAGACCAGTGAAAATTTAGCACTATTACTGGAAAATAATGTTTGAAACCTTATTTCAGGTGAATTTATTTCAGTATCTTTGTGGTAAAAAGAATGCTACCCATAAAAACTCTACATTTTCTTTGGTTTCATGATGTGTCTAGGTGAAGACTAATTTTTTATTTACTTAAGGTCTCAGTAGGTTTTCTGAATCTAAGGACTTTTGCCCTTCATAAATTCTGCAATATTCTCAGCCATACTGCTAAATCCCCATATTACTTTTTCTCTTTTGGAACTTCTATTAAACATTACGTTGGATCATCTCATTCCAACTTCTACGTCTCTAAAGATTTCTTACTGTTCCTCTTTCTCTCTCTCCTATATTCTTGATAATTTCAACTCTCCCACTTAGTCCTTATTCAATTATTTTTTATTAACCCATTCATTTTTATGACTATTTTTTTACTTTTTATTGGATTCCTTTCCAAGTCTTTTATCTTTTCATTTCCTTAAGATTTTAGTCATTTTAAACATACTTATTTTATTATTTCTATATGATAATTATCTGAAGGCCTTAGGGATTTAATCCTATTTGTTGTGTCTACTGACCCATTCTTGAGAATGAGTGACTGTCTTCGGAATTTTTAAATTGGGCATTGCAAACTCATCTTCATGCAGCTTAACTGTGAGAATCCTGGCAGCCTAGTTTGAAAGCTTGTAACATCAAGAATGTTTTGTTTGCTTCTTCTGAATAACTCAGAGGTTTTAGCATCCCATCAATCCTTTTTATATTTCTCAGTTTAGGTTTTTACACACCAAGGAGGTAGTATTAAACTGCAAGCCATGGGGCACATGGGTGGCTCAGTCAGTTGAGCGTCTCTGTCTTTAGCTCAGATAATGAAACTGGAGTCCCAGGATCAAGCCCCTTGTCAGGCTGCCTGATGGGCAGGGAGTCTGCTTTTTCTCTCCCTTTGCTCTTTCTCTCACTCTTTCTCAAATAAAAAAATAACTCCAAACCAACAAGAGAGAGGATTACAGCTACAAATTCTTAAGCTTCTCTGTAGTCTCCCAGTGCTGGTGGGTGGGTTCTTTTCTTCATCTACCCCTTTCCTACAGGTACAGTGCTTAAAGGATGCTGATTTTATGCATGGATGTTGTGCTATTTCCCACTTTGTACAAACTCGAGGCCTTGTAACCTATTTCCATATGGGCATTGAAATTCAAATCCCTGTAACGCCTGGACCAATACCTAACTCTTGCCCCATCCATGCAGCAGCCAATGTTAGCTCACATACTCCTCTATTTCTCGGTCTTTTCCTCATTTTTGCATCATGAGTGTTTCCTTAATTTCTTGAAAGCTCAGCTGTTCATTTAAATGGACGTTTGTTATCTTTTAGCTGGCATTTCTAGGTGATTTGAAGCAGAAGGGTTTTCGGATTATCTAGTCAGCCAATAGTCAGAAACAGAAAAGTATAAAGAATTCTATAAATACAATTCTTACAAAATTTTATAAATTTCAGGTACAGCATAGGAAAGAAACTGCTACATGTTTTAAAACTTCAGATTGCTATTTAAAAAGTAATTGTATTGCAAATGTCATATACTCTAGCTTGAGGTTTCAAAGACTATTTCTATTACAGTCAGGGGGCTATATAAGAAAAAAACAAAAAAATCAAACCAAGTAAGTAATTTTCATCCCTAAAAATAATAAAAAGTTCCACCCTGCTACAGCTGACACACTCATGAAAATGAAAAATTACATGCTATAGTCACAGAACCTATAAGAAACTAGAGTGGTTTCCAAGTTTTCCACCTAAGTTTACATTTGCAAGCCATTTAAAACAATGTTATATTATTTATTATTAAGTCCAGAACAGTCTGAATATTTAGGAATAGTCTTAATATGTAGGATGAGTGTATATGTAGAAAGAGGTTAATAAATTTAAAATACATAGCAAGAAGCTAATTATAGAGCAAGGGTTACAATTTAAATGCCTTTTTATGTCAAATATATGAATGCTTTCCATTTTACATTGAACTTGCTTTTAAGAGTTACATTAAATCTTTTGTCTTTTAAAATGTAATATATACAAGGAAATGCAACATAATCTGTACCTTTTGGCTAAATGGTTTTCAGTGATGGAAAAATAAATGTTTTTAATCAATTCCACTAGTACACCAATTTAATAGCAAGCCTTCCCAGCCCCCTCTCCAAAACAGTTCCACTACTCATCCACTTGTATCCATGTATATGGCTACCCACAGTCAAAGCCACTATCATCTCTTTCCTGGACTCTGCAATAGACTCTTTCCTGGACTCTGCAATAGACTCTTTCCTGAAATAGCTGCCAATTCTCTAAAACAAAGCTCAACATCTTTTTTTCTATAAAAGGCCATACAGGAAATATTTCAGGCGTTACAGGTCATACAATCTCAGTTGCAAATATTCAAGTCTGCCTTCACAGCACAAAAGTGGCACAGATTACAAATGAATTCCAATATATTCCAATAAAACTTTATTTGTGACTACTACAGGTCAAATTACATATAATTTTAATGTTATAAAATATTGTTCTTCTCTTGATTTATTCCTAACCATTTGAAATGTAAAATGTAAACTATTTTTTAACTCACAGGCCTTAGGAAAACAGGTGGTAAGGATTTGGCCTGTGGGCCACAATTTGCCCACCTTGCTCTAGCCCCTGCTCTAGTCCCACCCTCTTAATCTACTGTCCACACAGCAGCCAGCGTGATCTTTTTTAAATTAAAATCATTCAATTCCCCGGGGTGCCTGGGTAGCTCAGTGGGTTAAAGCCTCTGCCTAAGGCTCAGATCATGATCCCAGTGTCCTGGAATCGAGCCCCGCATCGGGCTCTCTGCTAAGTGCAGAGCCTGCTTCTCTCTCTCTCTCTCTCTGCCTGCCTCTCTGCCTACTTGTGTTCTCTGTCAAATAAATAAATAAAATCTTAAAAAAAAAAAAAATCAATTCCCCAAAATCTTGAGGATTGTTAAGATTTTCCATCACACCTAAAATAAGTGCCAAAATATTCATTGTGGCTTTCTAAGCCCTATGGCATGTGAGCTTTGCTACCATTTTCTATTACCTGTGTGCAACTCTCCTATTTACTATGATCTTTGTAGACCAATGTTTTCCAAAATGCAGGTTGCAACCCATCAGGAGTCACAAATCAATGTAATGAGTCCTAACCAATGATTTTTAAAAATGAAATGGTATATAAAACACCAGGGTAATCTCATGGATATTTAGCAACCTATTCACCCTGGACAACTGTGATAAACCCTTAAGAAATACAGTGGAGAAATGTTGCAGTACAGTTGAGAATAGGTGATACCATCTCTTCTTTATTGGCATCTCACTTTATTTTCTGGCATATGATATGATGGTAAATTTTAGTATCCCTAAAATGGAAGCATTAGAGTTGATGAGTTTAATTTTATAGTATTCAAATTTTTAGTTAGTTGTGAAGTATAGGAGAATTTATCTGTGAAAAAATCTGTAAAGCTTTTCAAACCAAGTTTCATAACAAACCTTTAGAGTGTGTCAACTGCAACATTCTATTTAAACTATTACTGAAGACATTTAAAAAAAGGATTTTATTATTAAAAAGAAAAATAAAATTAAAAAATACAAAGACATGATCAAATTCAGTTGCTGGATCTGTAAATACAAATAGTGACAATACTGATTAAAATGTTAACTCTATAGAAAACTTCAAATTAGTCTGAATCAAATTCTAAAAAGAAAAAAATACAAGACTTTTACAGTGAAGGTGATTTAAAGATGTGGTTTTACCCAAATATGCAAAACCCAGTATTTCTCAAAATTCCAATATTTTGTAATCATATTGTTATAAGTGAAACCTTAAAAATTAAAGATACTTGAAACAGGGCATGTTTGAATATTTTTCAAGAGAGACAATTACTACTCTAAATTCTTAGCCATTTATGACTGTAATGAAGATTATTAATGATAATGAATATCATGTGGCAAAGGAGCAAAGATTCACTCTGCTGTAGGGAAAAATTATATTTACAGCATAGAAGGTGATGCTTATTTTACAGTAAGATAGTTGACAAATTAAAAATTATTAACAGTATACTCTTATATCTATTAGAAAAACAATTAGGAGCAATGTTTATTTTGTAATTAGAGTCTGGTATGTGACTCTATCGTGTATGGCATATGATCTGGTATATGATCCAATTCAGTGATGTTGCAAGTTGTATAAAATTTTAGTTTACATCAAATAGCCAGAAAAGTCCCACTAAATATATTAAGTAAGGTGTTATTAAAATGGCAGCTTAAAAAAATGGCAGCTTAGTATTACTTCTCCCAGAAATGCTCCCCATTTTAAAAGCATGCTTAGGGGCACCTGAGTGGCTCAGTGGATTAAAGCCTCTGCCTTCAGCTCAGGTCATGATCCCAGGGTCCTGGGATTGAGCCCTGCATCAGGCTCTCTGCTCAGCAGGGAGCCTGCTTCGCCATCCCCACCCCAACCCCCCCCCCCCGCCCCGCCTCCCGCCAGCCTCTCTGGCTACTTGTGATCTCTGTCAAATAAATAAAATCTTAAAAACAAAAAAATAATAAAAAATAAAAAGAATGCTTAGTCCAAAGGTATGCAAAGTACGTGTGGGAATTCAGACATCAAGGCACCCTCCCACACAATGCAGGTGGTACTACAAAGGTAATGCAAAACCTCAGATTAGATTGAGCCCAAGGACAGCTCTCTCCATCTTTCCTATACCCCCAAGCTGAAATTTCTAGGGCATCCTAACTCATTAATTGCAAAAAGAATTTCCGGGAAATGCCCTTAATGGGGAGTTGGAAGGTCCTAAATCCAGACCTAAGACCCTAATCCAGACTTAAGTCCTTTCATCATTTCCTTTTTCTGCCCAAGAACTGGTAATTAGCAAATTAAAGGGTTAATATAGGTTTAGCTCGGGAATGTTTACTAAAAGCTGCCGTCTACTCAAGTTACATTAAGAGGTGAATTAACATGAACTATACCTAGATAGGTGTTCCCTAAACCAATGTCCTAACCCTTTCTCCAGCCAGCAGGCCTGAGTAAACCACAGGCTCCACAAATAAAAGTGGCTCATTATCACATTAACTCTCAATGAAAGAGGAAAGGGGTGGTGATAAGAATCCTACTTAACATTTCATAAAATAGCTAGTGCTTGTTTCAATTATCTTTTACCTCTGAGTTGCAGCATTCTGTTTCTATAAAGAATATGAATGTGTTTTCTGAGAATTTTACTGGCGGTGGGGGAGGGCAACATAACTCGTTGTCACTGGTACAGACGCTTTCACTTTTCTTCTAAATTTTATACAAAGAACCAACGATACATGACTCTGACCTACTTTCAAGATAAATAATAGCCACTACTAAGTAGCCACTACCTGGAGATCAGCACTTGCCTAGATATATTGAGCTCATTTTTCATAAAAGCCAGCTATACAAACAATAAAATCAAACAAAAAATCTTTTTTTCTTTTTTTCTTTACTCCTTAATCTGTACACACTCATCCACTAACATACACATAACCATTTCATCTCCGTAATTTTTGCTTTAGGAATTCTTCCTAAGTGGAATATATTATAAACATTTTGTATACGTAGAGTAGGAATGCTAAATGAAAAGGATAAGAAACATATTCTAGTGTAGATTTGTTCCAGTGCTATTAAAGCTTTTTACTTTAACTGGATAAATACAATCCACAGAATCAAGGTTTATAAAACATTCATAGAGAGCAAGCTTAATCTCTAGTAAATACAAATTTGGATGTGTCTTTTCTAACACATTATTTTCACTCATTCAATTACAACTAGATCAATACAACATAGTGTCTAATAACAGTGCAAGCTCAAGTAGATCTGGGTTCTACCACTTTCTAGCTAATGTAACGTTGGGCAAAGTGGTTGTAATATTTGCTAAGCCTCATTTTCCTCAGTTGTAAAATAGGTACGACAGATCTGCCTCATGGGGTTGTCAGGATAAAATGAAATCATCTATGAAAAGCATATACACTCGGGCGCCTGGGTGGCTCAGTGGGTTAAGCCGTTGCCTTCGGCTCAGGTCATGATCTCAGGGTCCTGGGATCGAGTCCCGCATCGGGCTCTCTGCTCATCAGGGAGCCTGCTTCCCTCGCTCTCTCTGCCTGCCTCTCTGTCTACTTGTGATCTCTGTCTGTCAAATAAATAAATAAAATCTTTAAAAAAAAAAAAAAAAAGAAAAGCATATACACTCTACCCTAATGGCCTAATGGCTGTTTTAGCAAACGTTTGCCATTCGGTTTGATGAAAGCTCCAAAGATAAAGTGGAAGCTACAGTTACTTCAAGAAGCTTCTCACTTTCAGATTAAAAGTGAAATACTAAAGGGGCACCTGGGTGGCTCAGTGGGTTAAGCCTCTGCGTTCAGCTCAGGTCATGATCTCAGGGTCCTAGGATCGAGCCCCACATCGGGCTCTCTGCTTAGCAGGGAGCCTGCTTCCCCCTCTCTCTCTGTACCTGCCTCTCTGTCTACTTGTGATCTCTGTCTGTCAAATCAATAATTAAAAAATTTAAAAATTTAAAAAAATTTTTTAAAAAGTGAAATACTAAAAATGGCTTAACAATATTAGAGAATATAAACATGTAAGCAAACAAAAATATTGCTATAACTCAAATTTACTTTTTCAACGTAAATGTATACCATAAATAATGTAATTTAAGCCACTTTCCCGAATCTAAGCCAAGAATTCATTTCAACATACCTGAAAGAGAAAATGTCTATTTAATCTCACTCATTTGAAAAAATGTTTAATTTATAGACGGGGAAAAAAAATGCATATTTACCTTCCACCCCACTCCCAAAAGCTAAATCTCTCCAAGGATCTAAAGATTATAAAAGAGGGAACTGGTGAAGAATAGGAAGCTATTTCAACTGACACTACTGGATAGGCTAAAAAACTATCACAGATGAAAAATTTCATTTGAGGTCTATCATGCAAAAGCCCTAAATATACATACCATACAAGTAATTTCTCCAACCACATTCCATTATGATATTCCTCTGTCATCAGTTGACAGCAATATTAAATTCCCTTTCTTGACATACTTTCTGTTTGCTTTAAAATAACCACAGCTCAGTAAGCTGGGGTAGATGCAGCAGCCACTCACTCATTCTAGTACAACTCAATCTTGTCCCTTCCCCTCTCAGAGAACTTTTGAGGGAAAAGAACTCAGATAACCCACAGACAGTGACTTTTGTGAGGTTATAAACATATACTCTATGTTTTTTAACATTTCCAAGACTATTCAAAGTTGTGTCCATGGTGGACTTTAACAAAGACTTTCATAATATAATTTAATACTATTACATAAGAACATAAAAGGGTCTGACAAGAGACATAGGTGGACTGTTGATATGTTAACGTGTTTTCAAAGTTGTATAAATAAAATCCTATTTCAAAAGCAGTAACAGAGATTAGAAAGGCTGTGATTTATTAAAAACACACTCATACATACAAACAAAAAGATCCTCTGTAGTTAATCTCTTCACAGTGTAAGCCTCCCTTTGGGTTTATGTTTGGAAGTTTGCAGAATCCTAAACAGAGTATTCCTAAGTGAGCATGGCCATTGCAAGGCAACTTAATAAATTTAGAAAAAGAAAAATTACATTTTCTTACATGTGGGAAATAAACGCCCTCTTAGGGCAATCAATTTCCCATTCCTTTTATTATACGCATCAATATAAAGCATGCTTAAGTAAAAGATTTTATTATGGCCATAAAAGTAACTGATTTCTAGTTTTTTGGGTTTTTTTAAAGAAAAACACACTAAATACATCCCACAGTTTTGTCCTGTAATTTTTTTGCATGACCATATTTCCCCGAAGATTCAGGGGCAATAAACCTTCTCCAATGAAAACACGAACAAAGTTCCGTAAATTAAAAAAAAAAAAAAAAAAAAGTTTGGCACTAAGGCATAATTTCTCCAGTCCTATCTTTATCTCCACCCAGGATACTGACACACCTAATCCCATTCAACAGTCATTGAACACCAAGGCAATGGGTGGCTAAAGCTAATAATACGAGTACGGGTTTAAAAAAAAAGAAAAACAAAAACCAAGAGAGAGCCCATAAACACGAGGAATCTTAAGCAAGGTCATGGAATTTTCTAACTAGAAGGTCCCGAACTAGACAAACCCTCTGGGATTCCAGAAAGAAAGAACAGGAGCTCCGAGAGGGAGACCAGGTCTTTCAGGGGGTTTCAAGCAGAGGCGGGGTCCTGTCGGCAAGTCGCTACCAAAGCACAGGACCCCACAAAGGGAAGCCAGGGCCAGAACCGCGGCCCCAGGTGCGGTGCTCGGTGGGCTGCCCCCCGGCTGCTCCCGCCCGCCAGCTCCACACTCACAGGGCAGAGGGAAGGCCGGGAGGCCGGGGAGAGACAGCGAGCGAGGCGGGTACAGACGCTCCGCGCGCGAGGAAGGAGTGCCCCAAGGTGAGGCTGAGGAAAGGGTGAAGGTTGTGGAGGGCAGGGGCGCCCAGAAGTGGAGAAAGGGGCCTAGCTCTCACCCTTGTCGCACGCCAGCAAGAAAAGCTTCTCATTCAGGGTGTTCTCCTCCTTCACCTCCCGCACATCCTTCAGCGCCATCACCTCGTTCGGCGACGAAGAGGAGGATGGGGAAGAAGGTAGGGAGGAGGAGGAGGCGCCCGAGAGATCCGTGCTCGGATACAGGGCCGCCATCATCTCGGCCCATGAAGGGGGTAGGCCGGGAGATGGGGGCGGGGCCCCCACCAGCCCCGACCCCGACCCCAGCCCCGCCCCAGGGCTGGAAAAGGGATGAGTCGTTCCCACGGCCGCCTCAGAGCGCGGCCCGTTGGCCCCGAAGGGCGTCGCCTCCCCTCGGAGCCAGCAGTCGCCCTCCACTGACAGCCCCAGACTGGTGGCGGCGCATGCGCGGCCCCGGGGCCAGCGCCCCCTCCCCAGCCGCCGGCGCCCGGGTCGAGCCGGCCCGCGCCCCTCCGGGGACGACAGAGTGGCGCGCGCCAGGGCGGTAGCCGAGCGCGGGGCCGTGCCAGGAGCCGCGGGGGCCGCACTGGGGGCGGCCCGGCCCGGGAGGAGGATGAGAGATCTGTGGTAAAGGAGCTCCGAGAGCGATTCTGCGCACGTCGGACTCCTGGGCTGTGGGAACCGCCAGCCCAGCTGCGCCGGGAGATGTTCGCGACTCTCCTCACGTCATCTTCCGCTCAGCGATAGCAACGACAAAGGGGCGGGCTCGCTGGTGGGCGGGGGCCGTTGTGGGGGCGGGGTCTACGTGCGCCACGCCCCCAGTCCCCGCCTACCCGCAGCAGCCTCGAAAGGTTTCAAGTTACTGCTGAGGGCTAAGTGAATAGCCTAGTGCGTCCTCTGCAAATCTGGGTTGTTGAAGTAATTTCCCTGCGGTTTTCTGATGCATGTAAATATGCAGCGGTAGGGTTATTGAACCTTTGACGACTTAATGTGGAATTATCTAATTATTTCTTGTTTTTGTCCTCTGCCTAAAGCAGAAAGGAGAGGACCCTGGTTACGCCGCTAGGCTGGTGCTTGCGCGCGTGTGTTTGGGCTAGCTATACTCATTTCTAGACTATTTTTTCAATAACTTGTTTGTGATATCAAATTGGCATAACGTTCTCGATGTCGTACATTCTCATGTAATTCAAGTGTACCGACATGTAACCATTGGATAAGCACGTTTTTAGCATCTATTCTACCTCCATGTCAGTGGTTTCTTCACTTTTATAAATTTGATTTTAAGAGATGTGTGTTAGGCAAAAGCTAACTGAAGCACAGTAGTACTACTTTCTTGAATAATTTTTTTTTTTAAAGCAGATTCTTGCACCTTTCAAAGCTAAGGGTAAAACTGCAACTCCTATCTTGAATAATTCTTACTGCTTTTCAGAATTATACAAAAATCAAAACTGTGCCCCCAGTACTTAGGTTTTTAAAGGCAATACATAAATTTATGTCAGAATATCTTATAGATGAGGGAAATACTTACTATTCAGGTTGATATATTCCATCTCTGTTCTTACCATCACTAACTCCCAAATTTCCCAAATACATCTTTCTCACCATTCAAAGCCCTCTTTAGATCTTCTCTAATAGGAGGCCTTAGGTAGATGGCAAGATTGCCCACCTTTCCAAACATTGTCATATATTTACTTCACAATAGTCAATTATCTATTGAATCATTTCAGCTTTTTTTAAAATCTGTAATATACCATAAGTCTTCCCCATTCTATACTGTTTCCAAGTTTGCATATTTGTAAACTTGGAATATTTGGTGGAATGTCAAAATTGTTCATTGTTAATTTGTAGCCAGTGAAAATAGAGCTGCATTTATGGGTTTGTATGTGTGCTTACTTACACTCTTCACAGTCCAAGAAATTTTTTATTCAGTAGGACAACTCTAATGCTGACCCATCCAAAATTTCCAGAGTACTGAAGGGTAAAAATTCAGATAGCTCCAAATATAAAAACCACTTTAATCTTAAGTCTTTTCAAGCTTCTGAGTTCGTGATTTCTCATCCATAAGGAGTCCCACAGGGGCTGGATTAATTCCTTATATTCAGGGGAATTCCAACCTACTTCATTTAGTAACTAATTCTGGGAGGCAAAATTATTAGGAGACCTCCTTCCCTATTTCAGAATAAGCCAGTATTGCAACTGCATCCTGTTCTTTAGTTTTTTTGAAACGTCTCAAATGCAGCATATTCTCTCCTGCCTTGTCTGGTACATGTTTTATCCAGCATAAATTGGGGTATTTTAGCATCCCCTCTATAATGGGTTTATGGTGCATCTGTGACAGTAAGATGATAGAATCATGAGGAACAATGGCAGTGCAAGATTCAGAAGCGGCACATTACTCAAAACAACTCACTAACCTGTGCAAAAGAGCCATCAACCTCAGTCAGAGAAGAGAAAAATCCAGATTCTGATCTAGTCTTAAAAATAGAACAGATCCCCCCAAAAAAGAATAGGAATGTCTGGCTGGCTCAGTCAACAGAGCATGTAACTCTCGTCCCACACTGGGTATAGAGCCTAGTTTAAAAAAAAAAAAAAAAAAGTGTAGACGAGATACTATCTACATCTCCAAACTCTATGCCTCTCTCTCACTACTCTCAGGCCACATTTGCCTGTTTCTTTTACTGAAATGTATGTGAGATCATTCCTGCTTCAGAGACTTTGGTCCCTCTGCTGAATGTTTATCACCTATCTCCTCATCATTCATATTTCAGTCTAAATATCTCATCCTTAGAGAGACCATTCCTGAGCACCCAAATTAAAATCTTCACCCAATTCCCAAGTCAGTCTCTATTACATTACCATCTTATTTCCCCTGCTGCATTTTATCACTGTCTAAAATTCCTATTTGTTCATTATCTCTCTCTACTAGGATATAACATTCATGAAGTCAGAGAACTCTGTCTATATTTTTCTCAACTGAATCCCCATATTTCTAGTATCATACCTGAATCACAACAAATTTATGTTAATCAGCGGATTCCCTCAAATTATTTCAGCACAAACTAAATCATAATAATAATGCAGTTGGTCTTTAGTAAAATTCTTCATATTAAAGAAAAATAGAACCACCTTCACTCCCCCCCAAAATCTAATTTTTTTGTTTTACTAATTAGAACAAAATTATTTTTTCTGGAAATAAACTTATGATAGATTAATTTTCAAGTCTGTGTATTCTTTAAATGAAATGAACACTGACACATTTGTACATACATAGAGTTTTTATTAAATATATTTTTGTGAGAAAAAGAACACCCTCAAGTGCTAAATTTCATGTAAATTGGATAACTTAGTAAATAATGGTGAAAAAAATCAAAAGGGGAAACATTAGTTAATCTCTTAGAGCAAAAACATCTTAATTTTCATATCAGAAAACAATCATCAAAATATAAAAGGAAAGGAAATCAGTTTTGTAGAAGAATATATTTCAAAGTTCCACCTATTGATGATTTCATTTAAAAAATTCAAAACACATGAGTAGTCTCACTCTTACCAACCTGTTTTAATCAATGGTAGAAGGGGAGTTTAAACTACTCATTCACATGGAGATAACGTGACAGCATTTTTGTTGCATAGCGGTATTGCTCACTCTCACTCACAGTGGAAGATGGAGGAAACAGATTTCTGAATTCATTTTTTAGCAGCAGAATCTGTCTATTGATAGAAATTCACACAAAAATAGGTCTGAAGGTTAGCTATTCTCAAGTTACACAAGCATTCACCAAACACTGCCAATTTGTAGGAGGCTGTTGAAAAAACATATGAAAATATTCTATGTTGAATATTAGCTTTGTGTTATTTTCTGCTAAAGATATTCAGTGGGCATATTCTAAATTAGAGCTTCAGTATAGATCAAAATTAACATGTGTAATATGAAACTAACAGTATAGTGTCAACATGTCTTGAGATGCTGTAGTCAATGCTTTGTTATAATTATGTGGAAGAAGTCAGTTGAAAAATAACTATAGGCACATCCAAAATGAATATTTTCTAAAATAAATGTTCATGTACCAAATATCTACAAACTGAAAAGTCGTTACACATGTAGTGGGACCACAATAAACACTTAATGGTTGCCTGACTGACCAGTTATACATACCATTTAAGAAAACCTGGGTAATTCAGATGCAAAAAAAAAAAAAAAATATATATATATATATATATATATACACACACACACATATTTCTCTAATAACAGTCTACCAACATATATGCTGCATGTCATAGTTAAAGCTGTATTACAAACTAGCATACATAAAATATAAGTACAGTTAAAATTAAGTTTTAAGTAAAAAGCTCCTGCTACTTATATAAGAGAATGTATTTTGGTGTTTATTCAAGACTTTTAGTTCTCATATATGAAAAGGTTTAATGTTAGTTAACAATACTTATCACTTAAAAACCTGAGACAATATAGAAATTTACAGAAAAGTAAAGTTCACATAGTTGGAGGAAAAAATAAAAGAACCTGGATAATGACTTTGAATACATTTATGATCAAAATTAACACATATACACACACACAAATCAAAGCACAGCAGGACATGCAAAAAAATGTTTACATTGATCTTTTTTGAACCATGAAAAAGATGAATTAGTCTTGTTTTAATAAGACTTTCAGAAAATGAAAATAATTTAATTATGAAATATCAGCTTAATAATGAGCATATTATTATCGATATTGACTGGTAAATTAACTGCATATCCAAAAATGTTGACAGATTCTGACTAGTATGAACAAGATATTGAATTCATTAATGAATTATACAACTAGTTAAGCATACAAATAATCAAAAACCCACTACATTTCAGAATTCTGTAAACTGTGAGACATTCAGTGTGTTTAATGTGGCAGAAAATAATATTAAATATTTTATTATTTTATTCTGTTCAGTCCTTTTCCCATTAAGCATGCAAACACAGTCATAACCATCTTTGGTTTCACTTCTACGAGGTCATCAGGTAAGGCATATATCTGGGCACCGATCTTTCGAGCAACTGAAATGGCATATCTTGAAAAGACAAGAAGAATATTTTATCAGTTGTTATCTGCTGTGTTTTCACTTAATATATGTCAAGAATGAAATATTTTTATTAGATTAGCTTTACAAGAAAGTTAACTTTGAAAGTCTTTAAATCATAGTCCCCATATAAATTGTATTTTTTCTCCTCCCCCCTTTATAAGTTGTATCTTAAAATGTTAAAAACATGGTAACATTACCTGTAAGGTCTTACGAACTTAAAGAGCCACTGTGTTCTAATATAAACCACAAAAAGCTTACTTAGCATTGTTCAACTTGTCTTCCTCAGATAAGTTTTCTCTCTTGATCATTTCTTGACGAACTGCATTTGGTGCAATGGCATCTATTAAGTCTAGGACAGGTAAACTGGTGCTAATAGATTTGTCCTAGAAAATAAAGAATGGAGGAACATTATTAAATATCACACTTTCAATTTTCATAAATGGCAAATTGGGTCATCACCATATACCTGAAAGCAGCTTATAAGTTTTCTTTGTACTGAACATTCAGCTTTTCTGCAACCAGCACACATCACAAACCACTTAAGTTTTTCCTTCAATCTTTACAGAGCTTACAGTGCGGAGTTGTCACCATACCCAAACAGGGCTTGCAGATGTGACAATTCCTAAAGTATGCTAAGTACAATAACCATTCTATAAAACATAACTTTTGAAAGGGAATAGGAGATGAACTTTAAATTAATAGTTTTGTAAATTCTAGTAATATATTTCTTAGACCATGGACTCCTAAGCCTTCACTTAAAATGTTTTAGAAAGAAAAATGAAGATATTACTGGAAAGGAACTAACATTTACAAAGGCATTATTCTTCTTGTGTTATATGTCCACCTTGTTTAAGTCTCCTAACAACCTTGTAATAAAGAAATTATAATCTCTCTTTCAAAGAGGAAGAACATGTTCATAGAGCTCAAATGACTTGTTCACACAATCAGTAAGTACAAAACCAGTAACTGAACCCATTACTGTCTGACTATAATGCCCAAGATTCTCTCCACTTTTGAAGTCACCTCCAAGCTGATCTAAAAATGAACAACCAAATTCTAGTGGATAGAGCACTGCACTTAAAGCCAGAAATCCTGGTCTGAACTGTTTTACCACTTACCAGTACTTGGAAAAAAAAAAATCATTTGTTCTGTCTCTCAGCTTAGATAGTGGCCACTACTGCTTGCGTACCCAGAATCTACTCTTTCCTTACTACTTTCTTCATCCTAACAGAATTCATATTTTCACTCTGTATCCACAACTCCCTCACATAAGGCATGTGCTACAGGGAAAGCTGACCCCATCGACAGTTCCAGGGGTGATCCTGAATTAGTCTAGGCCATGAATTCTAGGGGTAAGTGATAAACTTATTTTTTTTATGTATAAAGACTACAGTGCATAAACATACAGTAATATCCATGGCATTAAAATTTCAGAGGGAGGGGCTTTTAAGAAGAAAACCTCTAAGACTCCTTCCATAAACAAAAACACTAGTCTGAACCAAACAGAGTAATCCCATCTGATTACCACAGTGATTTAATTTGGGCCCAATTTAATTTAATATGAGGCTCTCGTTATTTTTCTGGGAGAGTTGTGGAAAACCAGCAACCATCCTCCTGTATGTGAATGAGAGGATGAAAACTTTGTCCCACCCAGCAGCTATCCTAAAAGGAAAACCAGCTATAGGGTGAAGTTGACACTGTAAATGGCAAAGCAGAGATGGATAAAAAACCTCAGTCCTGAATGACATTCTTCAATTACTGGTTCAACCAACCCTGAAATCTACCCTACCTCTGATTTCTGCCATTTTGTACCTTTCCTTTTGGTTTAAACCACTTTAAATTGGGTGTCTGTTATGTGAAGCCATAAGCAAGCACCCTTTCCTAATCACTACGATGAGAATGTCACAGGATTCTTGGGAATATTAGTATAAGGGAAAGAATCTACTACAGTTCCTAGCCAAATTAATAAAATTTTGAAAAAAACAGTTTGAAGCCATGTGAAGAACATTAATAGTCCACCTTTTTGGGCCATGATCTGTAAGCCACTACATTTATTAACTGTCCAAAAATGTATATTCTTTACTTTTAGAAATGTTCATTTTATGAAACAGATTTTTGAGGAGAAGTAGAAATAGAGGAGTAAAAATAACTAGGGTCCTTAAGTCTTTCTGATGATGGTAATCTGGATCTAGTTTTGGGGGGGCATCTTCCTTATTTCTGAAAAATTCTGCTATTTGTTTTCTCAATGTGTAGTCTGTAGACCACCTACATGAAAATCATCTGACATGTTTGTTAAAAGCATAAATTTATCCCTATAAATTAATAAGTCAGGATATCTGTGGATAGGGCTAGAAATCTACATCTTATTTTTTTATATTTTTTTATTTCTTTATAAACATATAATGTATTTTTATCCCCAGGGGTACAGGTCTGTGAATCGCCAGGTTTACACACTTCACAGCACTCACCATAGCACATACCCTCCCCAGTGTCCATAACCCCACGCCCCCTCTCCCAACTCCTCTCCCCCCATCAATCCTTAGTTTGTTTTGTGAGATTAAGAGTCACTTATGGTTTGTCTCCCTCCCAATCCCATCTTGTTTCATTTACTCTTCTCCTACCCCCTTAACCCCCCATGTTGCATCTCCTCTCCCTCGTATCAGGGAGATCATATGATAGTTGTCTTTCTCTGATTGACATATTTCGCTAAGCATGACACCCTCTAGTTCCATCCACGTTGCCGCAAATGGCAAGATTTCATTTCTTTTGATGGCTGCATAGTATTCCATTGTGTATATATACCACATCTTCTTTATCCATTCATCTGTTGATGGACATCTAGGTTCTTTCCATAGTTTGGCTATTTTAGACATTGCTGCTATAAACATTCGGGTGCACGTGCCCCTTCGGATGACTACGTTTGTATCTTTAGGGTAAATACCCAGCAGTGCAATTGCTGGGTCATAGGGTAGTTCTATTTTCAACATTTTGAGGAACCTCCATGCTGTTTTCCAGAGTGGTTGCACCAGCTTGCATTCCCACCAACAGTGTAGGAGGGTTCCCCTTTTTCCGCATCCTCGCCAGCATCTGTCATTTCCTGACTTGTTAATTTTAGCCATTCTGACTAGTGTGAGGTGGTATCTCATTGTGGTTTTGATTTGTATTTCTCTAACGCTGAGTGATTTGGAGCACTTTTTCATGTGTCTGTTGGCCATCTGGATGTCTTCTTTGCAGAAATGCCTGTTCATGTCTTCTGCCCATTTCTTGATTGGGTTATTTGTTCTTTGGGTGTTGAGTTTGCTAAGATCTTTATAGATTTTGAATACTAGCCCTTTATCTGATATGTTGTTTGCAAATATCTTCTCCCATTCTGTCAGTTATCATTTGGTTTTGTTAACTGTTTCCTTTGCTGTGCAAGCTTTTGATCTTGATGAAATCCCAATAGTTCATTTTTGCCCTTGCTTCCCTTGCTTTTGGTGATGTTCCCAGGAAGAAGTTGCTGCAGCTGAGGTCAAAGAGGTTGCTGCCTGTGTTTTCCTCAAGGATTTTGATGGACTCCTTTCTCACATTGAGGTCCTTCATCCATTTTGAGTCTATTTTCGTGTGTGGTGTAAGGAAATGATCCAATTTCATTTTTCTGCATGTGGCTGTCCAATTTTCCCAACACCATTTGTTGAAGAGACTGTCTTTTTTCCATTGAACATTCTTTCCTGCTTTGTCAAAGATTAGTTGACCATAGAGTTGAGGGTCTATTTCTGGGCTCTCTATTCTGTTCCATTGATCTATGTGTTTGTTCTTGTGCCAGTACCATACTGTCTTGATGACGACAGCTTTGTAATAGAGCTTAAAGTCCGGAATTGTGATGCCACCAACTTTGGCTTTCTTTTTCAATATTCCTTTGGCTATGTGAGGTCTTTTCTGGATCCATATAAATTGTAGGATTATTTGTTCCATTTCTTTGAAAAAAAAAAAAAAGGATGGGATTTTGATAGGGATTGCATTAAATGTGTAGATTGCTTTAGGTAGCATAGACATTTTCACAATATTTATTCTTCCAATCCAGGAGCATAGAACATTTTTCCATTTCCTTATGTCTTCCTCAATTTCTTTCATGAGTACTTTATAGTTTTCTGAGTATAGATTCTTTGCCACTTTGGTTAGGTTTATTCCTAGGTATCTTATGGTTTTGGGTGCAACTGTAAATGGGATTGAGTCCTTAATTTCTCTTTCTTCTGTCTTGTTGTTGGTGTAGAGAAATGCAACTGATTTCTGTGCATTGATTTTATATCCTGACACTTTAATGAATTCCTGTACAAGTTCTAGCAGATTTAGAGTGGAGCCTTTTGGATTTTCCACATATAGAATCATATCATCTGCAAAGAGTGATAGTTTGACTTCTTCTTTGCCGATTTGGATGCCTTTAATTTCTTTTTGTTGTCTGATTGCTGAGGCTAGGACTTCTAGTACTATGTTGAATAGCAATGGTGATAATGGACATCCCTGCTGTGTTCCTGACCTTAGCGGAACTGCTTTCAGTTTTTCTCCATTGAGAATGATATTTGCAGTGGGTTTTTCATAGATGGCTTTGATAATATTGAGGTATGTGCCCACTATCCCTACACTTTGAAGAGTTTTGATCAGGAAGGGATGCTGTACTTTGTCAAATGCTTTTTCAGCATCTATGGAGAGTATCATATGGTTCTTGTTCTTTCTTTTATTAATGTGTTGTATCACATTGATTGATTTGCAGATGTTGAACCAACCTTGCAGCCCTGGAATAAATCCCACTTGGTTGTGGTGAATAATCCTTATAATGTACTGTTGAATCCTATTGGCTAGTATTTTGGTGAGAATTTTCGCATCTGTGTTCATCAAGGATATTGGTCTGTAATTCTCTTTTTTGATGGGATCCTTGTCTGGTTTTGGGATCAAGGTGATGTTGGCCTCATAAAATGAGTTTGGAAGTTTTCCTTCCATTTCTATTTTTTGGAACAGTTTCAGGAGAATAGGTATTAATTCTTCTTTAAATGTTTGGTAGAATTCCCCTGGGAAGCCGTCTGGCCCTGGGCTTCTGTTTGTTTGGAGATTTTTGATGACTGTTTCAATATCCTTTCTGATTATAGGTCTCTTCAGGTTTTCTATTTCTTCCTGGTTCAGTTGTGGTAGTTTATATGTCTCTAGGAATGCATCCATTTCTTCCAGATTGTCAAATTAATTGGCACAGAGTTGTTCATAATATGTTCTTATAATTGTATTTCTTTGGTGTTGGTTGTAATCTCTCCTCTTTCATCCATGATTTTATTTATTTGGGTTCTTTTCTTTTCTTTTTGATAAATCTGGCCAGGGGTTTATCAATCTTATTAATTCTTTCAAAGAACCAGCTCCTAATTTCCTTGATTTGTTCTATTGTTTTTTGGTTTCTATTTCATTGATTTCTGCTCTGATCTTTATTATTTCTCTTCTCCTGCTGGGTTTAGGCTTTCTTTGTTGTTTTTTCTCTAGCTCCTTTACGTGTAGGGTTGTGTATTTGAGACCTTTCTTGTTTCTTGAGAAAGGCTTGTACCACTATATATTTTCCTCTCAGGACTGTCTTTGCTGTGTCCCACAGATTTTGAACCATTGTGTTCTCATTATCATTTGTTTCCATGATATTTTTCAATTCTTCTTTAATTTCTTGGTTGACCCATTCATTCTTTAGAAGGATGCTGTTTAGTCTCAATGTATTTGGGTTCTTTCCAAATTTCCTCTTGTGATTGAGTTCTAGCTTCAGAGCATTGTGGTCTGAAAATATGCAGGGAATGATCCCAATCTTTTGATACCAGTTGAGACCTGATTTCTGACCCAGGATGTGATCTCTTCTGGAGAATGTTCCATATGCACTAGAGAAGAATGTGTATTCTGTTGCTTTGGGATGAAATGTTCTGAATATATCTGTGATATCTATCCATCATGGTCCAGTGTGTCATTTAAGGCCTTTATTTTCTTGCTGATCTTTTGCTTGGGTGATCTGTCCATTTCAGTGAGGGGAGTGTTAAAGTCCCCTACTATTATTGTATGATTGGTGATGTGTTTCTTTGATATTGTTATTAATTGGTTTATATAGTTGGCTGCTCCCACGTTAGGGGCATAGATATTTAAAATTGTTAGATCTTCTTGTTGGAAAGACCCTTTGAGTATGATATAGTGTCCTTCCTCATCTCTTATTATAGTCTTTGGCTTAAAATGTAATTGATCTGATATAAGGATTGCCACCCCAGCCTTCTTCTGATGTCCATTAGCATGGTAAATTGTTTTCCACCCCCTCACTTTAAATCTGGAGGTGTCTTTGGGTCTAAAATGAGTTTCTTGTAGG